TTTTTTTATATTTTTTATTATATTCTTCTATTTTTGAAGAATAGACACTCCAAATTTCAAGTGATTTGGATTTGTAAAAAAAATTAAAAATTAAAACGCAAAATGAGGTCGTGACTGTCAGATCGGCCCAGATTCAATCTCGGTCATTGACTGACACTGTAGCAAGCTAAAGTATTGAAAAAAAGGTGTGTAAGGATATGGTTTGTGCTGGTAATTCTTAATCAACACGCCACTCTATATCTTTCCATTCTATCCCTCTCTCTGATGTCTCTTTCTCTCTCTTCTTTCCCTCTCTTACTACTCTATTACCTTCTGTTACTTTGCTCCTTTTCTCTTCTTTAATTTGCCCTAGATTATTTTCAACTTAGTATCAAAGCAAGCTAAAGTATTGAAGAAAAGGTGTGTAGGTATATGGTTTAGGGTTGATGTCATCCATATGATTAGATGACATCATCATGTCCATCAATTCCTAGTTTGTTCCCAGTAAAGACTATGTTGATCAAGGTGAGTTCTTCGGTGATTTCCTAATGTAGATCATTTTTGTTATCATCATTATCGAAGCCTTTTCCCAACTGTGTTTGATGGAAAACCTAAATCATTGATGGATTAGGGTTTATGTACCCTAATCAAGAAAACATTGACAGTGTTGTTTTTAATATTGTTTTTGTTGGGGTTTGTAGCATTTAAAGGCTGCGAGAGCACATAAAAGACATTTATAGTGGATCATACACCTCAATGGGGATGTATTAGGGTTTGTGTACCTAATCAAGAAAACATTGATAGTGTTGTTGTTAAATGTTCTTTTTATTGGGGCCTGTAGCCTTTAAAGGCTGCGAGAGCATGTGAAAGACATTTATAGTGGATCATATACCTCAATGGGAGTGTGCATTGTTTGACTGATTAAGGGTTAAGCAGTTTATGGCCATGGTCATGCCCAAAACCTTTACCCATGAGCATGTGACACTACTGAAAAGGGTTTACAGAGATTCATCTCTTGTTGAGCTCGGAGAGATGCCTAGGGATAGCTGGTAGGCCAAGAGAGTTGTGTATCATGTGTGTGGATATAGGGTTGTGTGAACAAGGGCTAAATCTTCAACAAATTCTACACAACATATATATATGACAGCCACAGTTTCGAGAAGAAACCTTACAAAGGGACATGCATACATGTGTATAGAGATAGTCCCCCTTGAACAATAGTGATATGTGTTTGGCTTGCTCTTAAGGCTACAATAATCCACATTTTGGAACTGTAATTCCACTATTTATTGGTCAGCTTTGATGAGTCAATTATGATTCCCTACATGAAACTATGGGTCATGGGTCTCATTGTGTTGGTTTGGAAAGACAATTGTGGATCATGGTCAACGGGTCAAGTGGATTGCCCTTATAGTAACTTTATTTTGACCCATTGGTACCAATGCACTTCTAAATATTTTATTTTCAATAATAGAAAAGTTTTTATGATTTTAAAAAAAAATTAAAATTCTTAAAATTTATTATTGCTGTAAATTCCTTCAAAAGAACATTTTAAAAATTATGAGAATAAGGGCACATGTGGGGCCCATGGTTCCAGCCCCACATATGTGTCATACCCCATAGGTGGGGCATGGGGCCCATGAGGGCTCACATTTCACCCATAAGGGTGGCACGCCCGCCTCTTTTTTCCTATGTTTTAAGTTAGTTCAATAATCTTTATATCAAGAAATTATGTCCTTATTTTGTAGGAGTTAAATTTCACCAAATATATTGTTTTAACTTCCTACAATTTTAAGGAATATTATAAAGAAGTTTCTAGAAGATTTAAATTGTTCTTATCCTAATTAAACTAGAAGTGGATGTGGGTCAAATATTAAAGGA